CGGTTCAGCCCGCCCCGGCCCCCGCGGCAGTAGTGCAGCCTGGCCTCAGCCCCTGTGGCACAGCCCGGCCCCGGTCCCCATGGCAGTGCAGCCCAGCCTGCCCGGGCTCAGCGGGGAGGCGGTGCAGCCTGCCCCAGCCCCCTCAGCAATGGCGGCGCGGCCCAGCCTGCCTGGGCCCTGCGGGGGAAAAAAGTCTGTCAATAGCCTGCACCCATCCATTTTTTTTGTAACATCGCGTATACCCTGTGGGATGTATGGGTGAAAATATGGTAGTTTGTGACTATATTTTAAGAAATTAATTAAAAATATTTATTGAATTTCTATGAAGAAAATGTTATTCTGTATTTGATAGTCTTGGCTCTGGTCACTTACAGTATTTCCTTCCACATTATTTGAATCATTAAACCTTTTATTGGGTCTCAATTAATACATAACTTGTCTGTTGTTCTTTAGGAAGTATGCAAAAGCAGAAGCTCTCATGACAGTCACTGATCCTGTGCATGATATTGCATTTGCTCCAAACCTAGGAAGATCCTTCCATATCTTAGCTGTGGCAACCAAAGATGTACGAATTTTCACGCTAAAACCTCTAAGGTGAGCTTTTGAAGCAGATTCTTAATACAAAATTACGTAATTATGTCGTCTTACTCTCTGGAAGCAAAACAAATTATTTGTATTTGTAACATGTACCAGGGCACCCAAAAATTTTTGGATAACACCTTGTTTTAGGGACAGTCCGCCCCACTCTTGCCCGCCATGTCTTGAATGTTATTAGATATACATGTTGTGGAAGGCTGCCCTGATCTTACTATAATGACCCCTGACTTGTGGTCCTGGCCTCATGGGTCAGTTACACGGCTCCGTACCTGTCCTACACTGTGTCCCGTGACTTGCAGATGACATTCTTACTAGGGCCATGCGAAGCTTCAGGTGCTGATTCGATTCGGAGGAGATTCCTCCCAATTTGACAGCCGAATTTCTGAATCTGAATTGAATTGGGAGACCATTAAAAAGGTCCGAATTGATTTAAAGCTCTCAGAATTGATTCGGGGAGATTCGGGCAGTTCCTGCTCGCTGCGGCAGGGGGCTGGACTCGGACTCTCCTGGTAAGTAGCGGGGCGGGGAGAGAGGAGAGAACCATGGGGGGACCCCCGCCAGGCCCCATCCTCTGCCTGCTTCCCCCTCCCCCCCGAGCCTTACCACGACCCTTGCCCGCTCTCCCAGCCCCATTAATGGCTGCTCTGCCTGGCCCTAGCATCCCAGCACTTTAAAAAGCCCCGCACTTACCGGCTGCTGCAGCAGCTTTCAGACCTCTCGGGGCTTGTGGCAGAGTTCCCCCACAGGCAGTGGGGCTTGCCCCCACCCTCTCCTCGCCTGGCAAGAGCTGGTGAGTGCGGCGCTTTTTAAGAGCCAAGACGCTGGGGCCGGGCAGGGTAGCCATTGACAGGGCTGGGAGAGTGGGCAGGGGATGGGGCCTGTTGATTCGGAGATTTGGCTGATTTGGCGGCAGCCGAATCTCCAAATTGATTTGGGACAGCGATTCAGATCACCAAATCGAATCCCTGTCCCCCGAATTGGCTGAATCTGAAGCAAATACTAGCCGCTCTGCACAGGCCTAATTCTTACAGGTGCTTGTTACTGGTACAGCTCTTCTCTGGGCCCTCAGACCCCTAGGTCTCTCATGCAATTTAGGCCTCAGGTCTTTCTCCCCGGGCCTGCTGGTCCACATATTTTCTCTTGCCCAGTGCTTTTCTGTTGGGTTATGCTCTTATCCTTCCCCCTCCAGAGGGTCACCCCCCAAGGCAGTGGGGGCTGAGGCTTTCCGGAGTGGCCCATGTGTGGTATTTCATGGAGGCTGCCCCACCACATCAGCCCCACCATGCCAACCAGCTCCAGCAAGGTGTACAGTTTTAGGTCTTACTCGGGACCAGTCTTCAGGTCTACCTGATTTTCCATCCATCTCCCTGGGCTACCCCTAGATGTCCTGCGCCTCTCCTAGGCCCCCATTTTCGATCTGGACTCCATCTCTATTCTTGTTCCCTATCTGTGGCCCCCAGCTTGCACTTGAACCCCATCTTCAGATGGCTTAGTGCCAGCCATTGTAATCCATGCTGCATACCCTCTGACCCCTTTCTCTCAGCAGTGGTCCTCATCCAGGGACCTTTGTGCCTCTCTAGGCCCTGGCCCCACTGACAGGCCAGTCGAGACTCCAGGCAGTCCACCTCTGGCTGTCCCTCGTGATGGGTTTTTCACCTTTTGGCCTGTCTGAGGCCCTGGCCCCAGCGTTGGCCAGTTGAAGTCCTTGATCAGTTATTCAGGCCATTAGTCCCACCATCTCCATGGGTACACCTTCTTGGGCCCCTCCATGGATCAGTCACTCTCTCTCAGTGGGCCTGAAGCTCTGCCTGGATCATGTTACACAGCCCCTTTCTTCTCTGGGCACCCCTGGACCCCTCAATGGGCCCCTGTACTGTGCCTCACTTGCAGGGCATGCCTAGGCCTCTTTTACCAGGTCTCCCTGATGCTCAGGTCCTCACTCAGGGCTCACCTGGCCCCTCAGTAGGCCCCCCAATCTAGCCCTGCTCCAGGCTGGCCTTGCCTTTCTCTAGATCCTTGTATGCACAGCCTCTCTTCAGCTGGGCTGGGCTGGCCTCTTTCTAGGTCCCATGCACACAGCCCTTCGCTCTTTGGGCTGTCCGGGCCTCTCACTAGACTACTCTTTCCGGCCTTACCTGTCCTCTCAACAGGCACAGGCACTCGGCCCCCTTTCCAGGGCTCTGGATCCCCTCTGGGTCCCCAGGAACCTCCTCCATCCCCATAGTGCCTACCCGAATCTTCACAGGCCTAAAACGTTATTCTCCATACTGGCAGTCAGGAGCTGCAACCTTTCTGCTGGGTTATGTTTCTTCCACAACCCCCAGGATGTTACTGCTAGCCCTGTTCCTAGGGTCTGGACTTATACCCTGTCTAAGCCCAGCCCTCTTCCAATCATGCATCCCCACTGCAATCAGGTCGCTCCCCTGATCAGGCCTGGCCTCACTTGCCATCCCCTGAGTCTGCTGACTCCCTAATTAGGCGTGACGTCACCTGCCAGTGGTTCTGCAGACTGTCTGACCTGTTAAAGTGGTGGGCACACCAAGTGCCCTGCCACAGTATTAACTATTTTAACAAGTCTATTCAGAAAGAAGTGCTTTTAGCAATCATCTGGTATGTCTGTACTGTCGTTATGGCATATGTTTATGCTAGCCTGTACTGTGCTGAAATATACTGTACTGCTGTGTACATGCTGGCTCATGACTGGATGTAGTGAACTGCCATAAGTGGTGTTAGTCCATTATTAGTATGAAATCTGGGTTAAAAAGTTACATTTCTCAGCAGAGCTAATTAGCTTACTTGCTAAAGTGGCACAGCTGTTTCCAGGAGACAGTGTGTGGAATAGCACAACATGTTTTATCACCATGCTGCCAGCTTTGGTAGGTTACCAGTTTTGACATGTCTTGTTTAAGGCAACCAGTGAACTAGCAAAACTATTTTGCTTAATGAGTCCAACACATTATTGTCATGCACACTTCTTGGAAAACTACACATTCAAGAAAACTTGGGTTTTTAGAACTTAAAGGCTAAGTACAGATGATCCAAAAGTCCAAGACTGAATTGATTCAGTCTTTGCAGGTTAGTGTAAACTGCATAGTTTGAACCAATAAATAAGTGAACAGACACTCACTTTTGATTCTGGAAATGTAGTCACATGCCTGCAGTGGCCCAGGCCAGAGGCTAGGGGGTGCTAGAGCATGCCTCCCTTCGTGGCTGAAGTGGAAAACTTGGGCCAAGGCTCGCCTGCCTACTCTGCAAGTGGGGGGGAGTTGTAAGGAAGGTTGAAAGCATCCTGGGATGCTGGGGGACTGTGAGTTAACTTGAATTTGGAGGGGATCTAGGATAGAAGTTCAATGAACTGATTTAACGTAAATCAGTTAAGTCTGATACTGAATCCATCCAGGTTTATCTTAAACTGGTTTCTGCCGTTTTGAAAGTGGTTGTACACCAAATTTCAGATTCTGATCACTTACACTGGTTTATGTGTTATTTCTATCCCTAGTCTAAATGTTTCTCCTGCCTTAACATTCTTCTTTTTTGCAGACTTTTACCCTCATATATATTTTCTTTTAACAGGAAAGAACTGACTTCTTCTGGAGGATTAACAAAATTTGAAATTCACATAGTGGCTCAGTTTGATAATCACAACTCCCAGGTCTGGCGAGTGAGCTGGAATATTACTGGCACAGTGCTTGCATCATCTGGTGATGATGGCTGTGTTAGGCTATGGAAAGGTAAGAGCAGTGCAGGTCAGATATTTTATCTACTTCAACTGAATACTGACTTTTGGGAGAATCTATAGAGAAATTTAATTTCTTCCTGCACAAGGCCTTTGAATTTGTGAACAAGTCTTAGTACTCCTGTGTGCGTTTGGAAAAAGGAGGTCAAACCTTCTGTATATGGACATAATGGGGCACTTTGTTCCATGTTTTACTTAGACCACGATAATAGCATGCATTTTAATTAGGCACCTACCTAAATCATGATGGAAGTTTGTGGGATGGCAGTGCCTTTAATCTTGTTCTTTTCGCCATGGTGTCCCTTTCCCTTTGCCAACTGAGTGGTCTAGAGACAAAAACCATGGCATTACTTGCTTCTTGTCCACTCAGAGGGAGGGGGGTCTGTACAGCAGAAAGAGATTAAAGGTGCTGCTGTACCCCAAATTTCCACTGTGATTTAGGTAGGTTCGTAACCATAATTTGTGATCCAAAATGCTTACTTCAGATTCAAATGATAAGAATTCATAAGTGACTTTGGTTAATGAGCCTACATGGTCCAGCTACATGTCAGACATATACAGAATTCTAAGTTATGAAATGCTGATTGTCTTTTGTAGGCATTTCTTCTTCTCTAACTACACGTCAAAAGAATTTTCACTCCCTTCTATTGATTATGTTGAGGCGGTCTTGTGCCAGACCAGACTTTTCGTAGCGCACAGACATCAGACTTATTTTTTTTGCTGTCCATGGACTTCATAATGTTTTCAATAAGCCTACATTTTAAATGCTTCTCGTCTGAATTTCTCTCTCTTAAGGTTCAGGTTTGGGAGCTGCATATGCCTGTTCTCCCCACGGTTTCTGTCAAAAGTCTGACTTTTATTTTCAAGCTGACCCAAATTAATTTTTGAACATTAAACATACTGCATTCATGCTTACTACAATTAATATCACGAAAATACAGTTTAACCTGCCTTTTTGTATAGGGGTGGTTTGTGATCTGCTTCATTACAATGGGCTTCTAAATTAAGAACAAGTCCACTCAACTGATTGTTGCAACCTTTACTCCAAAGGGTGCTGCTTTTCCATTCTGCTGGAGCACAACCACAATCCTTTATAGCCAATAGGAGAAGGAAGCTGTGCACAAAAAAAAAAAAAAAAGAGAGAGAGGGGCTGCAGAAAACAGGTGAAATACCTGGGTGGTCCTGTGCAGCTCTTTGCTGTAGCTAGTTCACAAATCTTTATCTTTTCAGGGAGACCAGGAACTTCTCTCTGAAAAGAATACTTCCCTGCTGGAAATGTATTGAATTATGTAGTCTGTCACTCTTATTTGGTCTGTCACTCAGCCCAATAATGGGGAAGCAAACGTTTAATTTTCTGTGGCTTCTGGAACAAGCTTCTATTTAAATTTACGATGGACTGTGAGAGAATCTCAAGCTGTTATGAAGTCAGGTGGACACTTGTTTTTTACACTGATGTAGTGCATTAAATTGTCAAACTTCTCCGATTTCCATGGGCTGAATATCTGTCAAAGTTGTGATATTATCAAATGTTCTTGAATTTGGGGGTGGAAAGTGAATTCATTTTATTTATTTTTAGCTAATTACATGGACAACTGGAAGTGCACTGGCATTCTGAAAGGTAACGGGAGTCCAGTCAATGGTAGTTCTCAGCAGGGCATTTTTAATGCTTCTTTAGGTTCAGCCAATACAAGCTTCCAGAATTCACTAAATGGATCATTTGCTGGCAGGTAGGCTAACTTGAGACTGGAATTTTGGAATGTATTGACTCTTCTGTAAACTATTTAACTTTTAATTGTACTGAATTTTGTTTTTTGCTTATGGTTCTTAGGTATGTTAATGATACTTTAAAGTTATTTATTACTGTACTAATGTTTCTACAGATTGAATTGTAGCTCTGAGATTTGTATACGATGCCAGTGTCAGTAGATGGGGAACCAGCAAAACCATAAAACAAATGGAACCATTCTTTTAAACACTCAAGACTGTTTTGAAAAATTGTTTCCACTCACCTCTTTTTTTGTACTTTTTAAAACATCTTCAGTAGTTTCAAACAGGGAGAGACAACACTGTTTTAATGCAGTGTAATTGTCTTATTGTTTGAGGTACATAGCTAAGTGCTTAGGAAGGCTACCAACTACAGATCATATTTGTGCTGAGATAATGTAGGAAGGTAATGCGGAAGGAGACAATAATCTGTGCTTGCCTTCTAACAGGAAGCAACTAGCTCTTATTTCCAGCTGATTTTCTTACATACCTAGGCTGATTAACTTAGAGTTCTTTTCTGAATTATTTTTTTGGAATTATTAATTGCTTTTTTTATTATGTTTCTGTTAGAATGACACTCATGTTCTATACATATTAAAAACTTTCAGTTAAATGAGTTTGAAAGAGTCTGTACTAAATTCCTGAACCTTGCATTTTTAATATAATTATATAGATACGATCATACAAGGCATGATCATACAGGGCACGTTGAAGGCCCTGTTCTTTACAGCTCACTGAGGTTAAATTCTACATAATACATTTATTTTATCACCAAGCTATACTTCCCTTTGCATTCCTATACAGACATAACTGTGACTCGTACATAAATACACTCCAGAGCGCCCACCTACCCCCCACTTTTTTGGACTTTAAACTGAACTACAGCACTGCCTTGCTCCATTGATTGTGGGAAACATGTATTAAGGCAATTAACTTTCCCTTGGGGGTGAAAAGTGGGAGTGCACAAGGTGGCCATAGACTAAATCATAGAGTAAGAAAGCAAGAAATTGGTCCTTTAGTTCCAGCAGATATAACTTACGCAGGAAAAACATTGGATATAATATCAGCTTGGAAAAAAATTAAGATAAGTTGTAGACTCTCTAGAGCCCTTCATTGAGATGAATGGGTCTGTTTGCACTTAGCTTGTTTCCAGCTCTCTGCAGTCTCAGAATGGAATGGTGCATATATTCAAGATTATATTTGCAACTATAGTGCTGGAAATACAGCTTTTTTTTCCTAAATTAAAGAAGTGATTGTTAAGTACAATTCTTCTGTAAGTGGTGAATTCCTGAGATTTCACGACCATATACTGCAACAAGACTACATGGGATCTTGCCTTTTAAAAATTATACAGCCATTTTGTGATCACATATACTTGTGTGTGTGTAAATTCCATAGTTCTAATATATTTCAGAAAACTAAAATGCTTAATAAAAATGAAGTATATATTGATCAGTGACCAGATTGGTATACCGTATTTTCTCTCATACCACACCCACTCAAGATGAGATAAAACATGCCCATTGCTTTTGGAAAGGCAGAATGAAGGAAAAAAGTTTCCTTCCCACCCCCAGACTTATGGCCATAGGCAACAGGAACACAGCCTCATCTTCAGCTAGCCCACCCTCCCTTTCCTGTTTAGGCAAAAGCTGCTGTGTTAATCCTTTCACAACTGAATTTTCAGTAGCTCTTGGATGCTTAGGCACAAACGTGAAACTAGCTGCTGCTGAAGACTGGACTCCATGGGCAGACCAAGGATTTTGAAATGAGCTAAAAACAGTCTGCAGGTTAAAATAGGAACTGGGAGTCCAGGAGTAGTTAAATTGAAAATTCGGCACCAAAATTGCTGAAGAAAGGACCGCTTGATCAAGCCTCTTAAAAAAAAAAAAAAAAAAAAAAAAAAAAAAGAGAGAGTCATTAATACCTGTTTAGCGAGGAGCAATTAATAGGAATAAAGTAGATTACAGCGAGCCATGAAATCAGTTGACTCACTAAAGCCTGCCTGAATAGAAATGCAACTGCTGCTATTTTGAGCAAAAAATCAGCTTCCCTGCTTAAGACATGCACCTAATTTTGGAAGGCTAATTTTTTGGGAAAAGATGCATGTGGTATGTGAGCAAATACAGTCAAAGGCAGAATTAAATAGCTTGTAATCTGTATTTTTAGGTAGTGACTTTCAGTGATAGTATGTTTTAAACACTAAAGAGGCATTTAACCTATAACAAGATTTTAATCGTCTAAGGATTAAATGTGTCAAAATCCTTATGTTCAACCAAGTTAGTGACCAAAATTATTTTGGAATGACTGAAATTAAAATTATTGGAAAAAACTACAGTCAGTAGTGCTGTGTTCTTATTTGTACTGATAATGTGTGTCTAGATTTGTGATGCATTTTCCCTTCTCCATTTGTATTATGTCCTTTTTAACAGAAAACAGAGCTGATACCAAGCTAACTGGAGTAACTTTGCTGTTTTGCTGCTTGTTGCATGCACACAGGAATGGAAAATGAACTCCTTTTTCCCTTCCCCAACGCCGTTTGACCTCTCCCAAGACACCAGCAGCCTGCTAACTACTAAACGCAAAAAGGCCTTTAAAAAAAATCTTGTATACCTTTTTGTATTAGCCAGCAAAGTTTGATAATGTTGGAACTTCAGAAAGAAAGATAATTGGAGAGGCTTCTTGATGAGACAAATTTCCACCAAGACAGGTGTTTTTTTTTTTCCTGGAAAATTCATGAAATTAAAGAAAATTGTTGTTCTTAAGTGGGATGGGAAGAGGGGGAAGATGGCCTAATGACCATTAAAGTCAGTTAATTTTCATTAAAATTGTTCTGAGTGTTTATTTGCTTTACGTTTCATAGTGCTTAATTATATAAGTAAGGTTCCTAAACATCACAACTTTGTAAATGATTTTTAATATGCGGAAATTGCTGTCTTATTCCTTTAAGGCTAACAGTGTGATTTGACAATTGTACAGATGATAGTTTAAATTAGTTTGGTAATGTTACATTTATAACTTAACCACTTCCAAGAAATGTTTTGTAAGCACTGTCATAGTTTATTCATCCTCACTAAAAAGTACTTTTTCTGATGTATGCCACATTCCCCTATGTTGTGATTTCATGGATTAGCGGATTCCTTCTAAGCACAACATTCTAATTTATTAAACATCAAAAATCAGCTTCCAATGTTGACTGTCGCAGAATTTCATAAATTACTTGGCCTCTGCATTCTGTAAATGTTCTCCACAGAGCTATAAACACAACAGATAATGTTTAGAGATATTTTAATAGCTATAATAAATTAATGCATATTACGGGTAAGTCATAATAGAAATGGCAGAAGAATGGCATAATTCCTAGAGCTTTGAGTTTACCGGAAATCTTAAATTTATCCTGAGGCTTTTGTAGAAACCTGTAAATACATACAGTGATTGTATTTCATGGAAACAATAGTCATTCTTTGCAGCTGTATACTATGAAAGATAACTGTTGTAAAAACAATGCAGTGGTTTTATATCTATCTTAAAATGTGCAGTGAGATTAATCTGAATTAGATGTAAATGCAACATATGTATTCGCATATTATTTAATGTGTGCCTGGTGTTGCAAATGAAGTGTTACTAAAAGCTCTGTTAATAAGCATGAATTATTGGAGAGAGCGAGCATCAGAGAAAGATGTTGATAGTTGTGCTAGAAAATCTTTTTAATTTACAAAGTAACTTATTCCTTTGTAAAATGCCTGTTAGAAGTATTTCACATTATACTTTTTCTATACTTCGAGTGGAAACATGCAGTTTTCTTTAAAGAACTGTTTGAGCAAATCTGGAAACTTGTTTTGAATTAGGGCTTGATTTTTGCTATTACACTCTATTGGTTTTGGCATGGATATACTAAAGCTTTTTTTTTTTTCCAGCATGTCTTTTCTCCCCTTTGGTTCTCCTTGTATTTACTACTTTTCTCTTTTTCTTCTGTTTTTGTTTTGTTTTGTTTTCTTTTTTGTTTTGGTGTTTTGTTCCTGTCTTAATTGTTTCAGGTATTTCTTTCCCCCTCTGGATTCCCCACGGGCTGGATCAAGATGGTCCAGTCATGCCCAGCTCCTACCTCCTCCTCCTCTGATAGAGCACTCTTGCGATGCTGACACTGCCAACCTCCAGTATCCTCACCCTCGCAGACGATATATCTCTCGGCCTCTTAACCTTTTACCTGAGAATGAAGGGGTTTAACATACGTTGTTTAAAATAAACTCTAAAGGGCCTATTCGATGCTTGTAAATGCTTACGTTTTCCAGCTGCTTTCATTTTTCATTTTTCCTTCTGAAGATTTTCAAAATTTGGGGGCTTTTTGCATGTTTTGCAAAACAAACCACAGTATTTGGAGTCTTAACGTTTATGCTTGTGCATCAAAGGAACACTAGCTTCATTGTTCCAATACCCTTTGAATTATGACAACACAGTACCAGCAGCATTAAGTATGAGACCTATATGCAGAGTAGTTGACTTCAAAATGCCTGTCCCATATTTTTTGTACCCAGTTTGTTGTGGTCTTGAGTTTTTTTTCTTTATTTCTTTTTTTTTTAATTAATTTTATTTTTTGTATATCACATTGATATATGTGAAACGTATTGTCAGAGTTCAACACGCTCTCAAGAAACTGTTCTGTAACTCAAGGATCACGTTAGAAGTAACTCCTAAAATAAACTGTTCCTGTGTATACTGCAGCAAAATGGTAATTCGGAGTGTTTGGTCATTTGAAGTTTCCACCTCACTGCATAAGATTTAAATATTTAATTTTTTAAAATTATCATCAAATAGATTAATAAAATGTATTTTAAAAGATTTGGATTATTGTGCTCTCTTTTTATTTAATTAAAAGGCACCTAGTATGATATAGGGGCATGTTAGTCAAGTGTCCCATCTGTCATCTTATTTAGATTAAGGTGTATGTGGTGGATTAATCTGGAGCTTCAAACAAAATTTTCCTTAAAAGTTTAGTATACAATTTCGGTTAAATACTTTTCAACTATTAGGTGTTGATATGGAACACAAAACATCTTGTTTGTAACTGTTAGAGGACTGCTAAAAAGAAAATTAAATTATATACAGTTTATTAGCGGTGTGATAGAAAAGGAGCAGATATATATATATATATCTCATTATAATTCAGGTTTGGTGTGAATTACATTAAAAGGGGCCTACAAGTATGAAAGGTCAACAAAAAAGTGTTTTTAGTCACTGTCAAGAGCTTTTAATCACCTAACATTTGATGCTCTTGCCCTTTCTATTAAAGTAGGAGATTAATAATATAAGTCTCTGGAGCCAAAGCAGAGAAATATAGAATTGATATTCTTAATCTTGGCTGAAATGATTTAGGTGTGGAGATCTCCCTCCTTGAGCAGGAAGCTTGGATAGTTGATCTCCTGAAGTCTCTTTCAGCCCGATTTTTCTAAGGTCTTAAGGTAAAAAAATATGATGCGTTTGTTTAACAAAGTAGCATAGCCCTGATTGCTCAAATATAATTTACAGGTCACTTTGAAATCTGTAAGATGGCTGCTATTCCAACTCCTATTTTGTCATGGTGTAGCTTCACAATTACCTTTGCATCTGAATGAAATATTTAAAGATTCTACTTTGAATCTGCAGGTTTCAGCATATCTTTTAACAGTATACACAACCACATTTATTTTGCGTGCCTGAGGCATCTTTGACATTTACAATGAAGAATTCTGAGTGTAAAATATACACTCTGGCTCACTCAGAGCTGAGTAATACTACAGAGAAATGTTTAATGTACAATTTCTTAGTAAAAATTCAGAGTGCTCATTATATAAGAATTACATGATTATGATGGAATAAAATAAAGGTTTTTTGCTTTGCTTTCTTTTATCCACTCATCACCAAAACTGGTAAATCTACAAAATGAAATGGCAGAGTATCCAATGCTTTGAGAACATCAGCTGACTTGAGGGTTGCTAGAGATGCCTTTCAAACCAACTAATTTTCAGGAGCAAATTTCCACTGTGACTTTAGTACAGTATGCCTCTACACTTTTAAAATGAGTATACTAAGAGAGGATAAATTTGCTGAAGTTGTTTTTCCTATGAATTGACAGGACTTTTGCGAAGATTCAGCATATCAACTTAATGAAACAGTGATGAGTTACCCCGGTGACTTATTAACCAGATTCCACTGTAATTACATATTCACCTTTGCAAATTGATTATATGTTGAACTATGATACCGTAAGGCAGCAGTTCTCAAACTGTGGGTCACAACCCCCACAGGGGTCAGGAGCAACTTTAAAAGGGGGTTGCAAATCCACGCAGGGGACCCTGTAGCTCGTCGATCAGCCACCAGGGGGTCATGGTATCTCAAAGTTTGAGAACCCCTGCTCTAAGGGTTCCAAGAAACAGAAAGTTTAGAAAAATGCAATCTCTACATGGGGAAGATGTAGGACTACTAGAACGGTGCTTTCCTCAGTGTAGGAATGGAAGCAAGGCAGCTCAGCTCCAATGGCCCTGGCAAGGCTGTATTGCTCTGCTCTGGCTAGATAAGCAAAACTAGGTATCATCTTGGTTCAGAGATGATACCTTTGATTTGACCAACTAAGAAATTGCAAAAAAAAAAAAGGGAACCTGTTGCTTCCATCATTTTTTGTTCAACTCAGTGTCTGTTCATCGTATTCTTTAAGTTAATGGCAATTTTAATTATTTATTTCCTTATAGCTGGCTGCTCTTGCTTTCAGTTAGTAATTAGTCTAGAACAGTCACTTGATTTTCCTTCAGGCGTGACAACATGCTGCTATCGGGATCCTGCTATATTTTTCAGTCAGTCACCCTTTTTTCCGTATAGGAAGCTGTGCTGTTTACATCTCCGGTTCACATGAACTGCAACAAACACAGAATCATCATATTAAAAAGGCTGCATGATGTTCATGTAAACAACAAGGACAAAACCTTTATCTGCATAAAATGTCTGAAACACTCAATTCCATCATTTCTTTGACGGTTGTTATTGTCAATTCAATTTTAGTCTTTGAGAGAGAGAAATTTACTTTTTCTGCTTCCAACCAGGTGCGCTGGTAGAAGTGCATTCATTCTGGTTTGCCCATAGGATCCTGGATCCAGAGACTCTTGACACAGCAGTTGAGAAGTCTGTGTAACAGAGAGAAAAACTGGCGGTTTGTCCTAAGAACAGAAGAAAAGGGTCAGTCCAAAAGATCCCTCTAACGCAGTGTACTGTACCCCACACCTATCTAAAGTGTACCAGGTTGTAGGCACTTCTCTACCTCCTTTGGAACCTCCTGCTATGGTTTTGCCTGCCCTTTTCCTTGCACCTTTTCTCTTGTGCACTCCCTGTCCGTGGCCCCAGTAAGTCCTGGGCTTTCCTGGTCAACTTTCTCTTGGCTCTGGCCAAGCTTTCCATCTATCAGACCAGAAAGGAGACTGGCAGGGGAAGATCTGGGCAAGTGTGGGGCTGCTTTCCTATCACTCCTCCACTTGTCTCTAGGCCCCATTTCACTGCTTGGTATCCATAGGCTTCTTCAGCTCATTTTGGGGTAGTGATTGCTGGCTCTGCTTGGCATCCCCTTCCAGATCCTTTGTTATTAACCCAGGAATTTAACTTCCTTCCCTGTTTTCTTTCTATTTGTCCTAAGCAATGAGTTGTGCCCCCAGTGACCTCCTTTATTAATGGAGGCTTATAGTTTCTTTGGTGAGCTTGTGATTCCTTCAGCACAACAAACGGGTCCGTCTCACAGTGGCAGGAATCATTGGCAATCCCTCGATTGGAGGATGACTTTTACTATGGTTCAGTGATGGGTCTTGAGGTGCCTTAAGAGTCCAATCCTTGAGCCACAGACTCATCCACAGAAGTTGCTAGTCTTTCTGGAGGGGGGGACTAGGCCATAGGTCAGGATTTCTCTCCTTTTCCTTCCTGTTTTCTCTTCTCTGTTTTGAGGGCAAGACAATTTACCTCTAAACCAGGGGACCTCAATCCACTGGCAGATTTCTGAGCCTCTTGTGGCAGCTCTCGGAGCCTCTTGGAGTCTATTCAAGGCTGGGGTGGGGGGCTGAGTGCCTGCGTGTATGCAAGAGTGTGCCCCAGCCAAGCAGGTCAATCTGTGGGGGGGGGGGGCATGGGGGGGCCGGATGCCCCTGCATTGAGGGACAGTGCCGCAGAGGCAGGAGCAGGGGTGAGTTGAGTGGGGCCCAGGCCAGGTGAGACTTACCTGCTGGGGAGGTGTGCCCCCAAATAATTTTTTCTCCCTCTGCCTTGACCTGCCCCTCCTTCCCTCCCCACAGACTTACCGGCTGGGCAGTGGGAGGGTGGCAGCACATGGTAGATCTTGGGTTGCTTTTAAATGCCAAGAGTGATCTACTTAAAAAGGTTGGAGACCACTGGTCTAAACAAGCTGCCGCTTGGTTGAGGTTAGGGTGCCATTAGAGTTGGTCAGCAGATGGCTCCTAGCTCTTGATGTGGGCATCCATTCTCTTGAGGTAGCCTTCAACGAGCCCTTGGAGCATTTCCTCTGGCCGCCGTGAGATCCCTTGCTCAGCTGGGAGCAGAAGACTCGTTTTGGGAGTCAAGAGCTGGGTATGTGCACACCATGTTCAGGCCAGCAAAGCGGGTGCTTCAGGATCGCGGACTCCGTGCTAGCAGCATCGGCTGAGCGGGCACTAGGAGCACTGACTCACACATCCGGAGTGAGGTGGACTGTGGTTATTCCTCGCCCCCTGGCATCCATCATTCACGACACCTACCGCCAGGCGGGAATCGCGCAGGCGCGCTTACGAGACCCGACCCCGTGAGGTCTGCCTGTCCTGGCTAAGGGTGGCGGGGGCAGGCTACT